AACAATTTCTGACCGTTTAAAAGCTATGGGAAAGATCCAAAAGTGTGGAAAATGGGTGCCAGATGAATTGAATGAAAGACAGATGGAAAACCGAAAAAACACTTGTGAAATTTTGCTTCAAAGACACGAAAGAAAATCGGTTTTGCATCGGATTGTTACTGGCGATGTAAAATGGATTTATTTTAAGAATCCTAAACGAAAAAAATCTGCAAAACCAGATCGATTCGGCAAGAAGACAATGCTGTGTGTTTGGTGGGACCAGAAAGGTGTGGTGTACCACGAGCTCCTAAAACCTGGTGAAACCGTCAATGCTGGTCGCTATGAACAACAAATGATAAATTTGAACCAAGCATTGATCGAGAAACGACCAGAATGGGCCAAAAGACACGGCAAGGTAATTCTGCTCCATGACAATGCACCTGCACACAAAGCAAAACGGGTTCAGGATACAATCAAAACACTTGGTTGGGAGCTGCTACCCCACCCGCCGTATTCACCAGACTTGGCTCCTTCCGACTACCATTTGTTTTCATCGAAGAGACACGCATTGGCTGAGCAGCACTTTGATTCCTACGAGGAGGTCGAAAATTGGATGTCTGGTTAGTTTGCTTTAAAAGACGAACAATTTTTTTGGCGTGGTATCCACAAACTGCCAGAAAGGTGGTCAAAATGTGTAGAAAGCAATGGCCAATACTTTGAATGAAATGTTTTTTACTTTCCTATTAATAATTAGTGTTTTATTTTCACCAAAAGACGCTCATTTCATAAATGTACACCTGGTATTTCTGTTTCAGCGATTGTTCACAATACCAAAACAAAAGAAATGCAAATTGAAAATTTTAATTTATTTAACTAAAATAAAAGAAGGAAAATCTAGCATTATTGGAGCAGCAATTGTATAGAATTATAACACTTTTTCATCCACTAAAGCAACAATTATTTATTTGATTTTCTGTGCGCAGCTAATTTAGAATAAAAATATTTATAATAATTTTTGAATGTACATTAGGACTTTATCTTGTTAGTTTAAAGTGTAGCAGAAGCAGACTTCCTAAAGAAATAAAATAGGTGAAGAGACATAAACTTATCATTTCGATGGAGGAAGTCCATAAGTCAATAAAGCATAATTTGGTGTATGAATTATGACGACGTTGAGGAATTAAGATGCACAGTTGGTGCACACATTGAAAATATACATTTTAAATTAGACAAGCAACTTTATAACAGTTGAGCATATCTGGATTAAATGGTCTCAAAGTGTAAACTGACTTTGGTATAGTGCTTGGTTATGTTTCTTTCAGAACGCGGAAAGGATCAAAATATGGTGTTATAGCCAAACGCCAACGTGAAAATAAGCACATAAAGTGTTGACAAGACATTACACAATTGGGTGGGTTGGAGTAAGTAATGTAGAGATGTTAAGGAAGATAACGATATTAAATCTAACCTTTCTCCAGATGCCACCTTAATGGGCTGAAACCATAAAAAATGGACGTCCAAATTTGTCTATGTACTTAAGCAAAAATACAAAATTTGTTGTATATTAATTTTTCTCAACCCAAAATATGCTGCGTACATTGAAATAGGTACGTGCATTTAATTTTTTACGAAAACAGACTTTCACGGAGCGGTGGTTAATAAACCCTGTTAGATTTATGAATGAATGAAGTCCATTTTCGTAAATATACAATTTATAATTTCTGTTGAAAATCATATAAATTTTCTTTCTATTTTTTTTATGTAAACCAACAAATGATAGAAAAATATATTAAATAGTATGAAATGCTTTAAATAAATTAGTACTAAGTATATTATTTTTAATGGGCGTTAAGAGTGTAACTATAACTACATAATTGACAATAAAATATTCTAAATTAAAATTAAATTAAAAGACAATACTTTTCTGAATCTACATAAAATCTTATATCAAATTTATTACGTAAAAATTATTCAAAATGTTTCACATAAATTTAGCGACTACACTAATGTTTTTAAAGTCAATAAAAATAAAACAAAAATAAAAAATAAAAAAAAACATTCAAATTAATTTATATGACATGGCCAATTTTTTATACTGTAATTTAAATGAATTTGGTATAATTAAAATACAAAATAAAACATACGTCACTCAAGTACATATATCTTTTGCTTATACTTATAACTTTTAAATTCACTAACACAATTTTATTACATTTAATATGTTGTGGTTTTTATATTTATGATTAAATTTCTAAAATCAAATTTTTGTGCAATTTACAATTATAATTTGACACTTTCCGAGTATTAATTGTGCATTATTTATATTCAATTCTCATTGCAAAATTTCCGGTTCATTTTCCTTTGCAATATAAGCGCAATTAATTAAAAAACAATACTAAATAAATATTGCATTATTAATTTGACATAATTTATATAAAATTATCTAAGACTAATGTTTGATGAAAGTACTTAAGATTTAACAATTTATTTAATTTTAAAATTTATATAAAACTTTGCGCTTAGTTGGCGTTTTACATGTTAGAAAATTGTTTGACTACATCGAAATGTTGTAATCATTAAAATAATGCATGTGATGACAAGTAAAATTATATTAATTCCAAATATACTACGCTTTATTTCATTCATTCTTAAAATACATTTTATTTTAATGCAAATTATACATAACTTATATTAGTCGACCATAAATGATTGGTTCTAGCAATTGTGACTGTTTTAACTTTATGTATTATTTATATACAATTTTTATCATTTCAGTAATTGTTTGTCATTTTTAACAATTGCTTTATCCATATGCATACGCATATATTTATTGATATACATATATAAATTAATTTTATATATTTCTTTTTTATATATTAAGCTTAAATGGACTTATTTTTCACATATTAAAAAATAATACAATTTAAAGTTTAATTATATATTTAAATATAAGCATAACATAACATCACATTTATCACACAACGTATTTTGCTAATTTGTCTCGTTGAAAATTCGTTAAAAGCGATTTCTACATTATTTCTTAATTATGATATAATCAAATCTTCGCTCAATCTGATTTGAAATTTGTTTTTTTTTTCTTTTATGCAATTATATGACTATTCTTATTTAAATCAGTTAATAGTTCGGTATCCAAGTCTTCAGCTTCAAGTAAATCTACACAACCATCACCGTTTAAGGATTGTGGTATGCTGGTGGACAGCACCATACTATTTACGGCAGGTCCATTGCCTCCATTGAAACGTCCAATTTCATGACGTGACGTGACAGGATTATTTGAGGCAGTGTCATGTGAGTTGTGACGTCGCTCACGTTCACGTACTATATGTGGCGCTTCATTAAATTCATCTAGCTCATCCATGCCTAAAAAAATAAAGAACAAATTTGAATTGAAGAACAAAACTATTTATTTTAATTAAATTAATTTTACTGCTCACCCGCATATCTAGAGCCTGCTAGTAATAAATATTGTCCGCTGCGATTCGGCCACAGCAAACCCGTCATAACGCAATAAGCCAAACAATCTGCTGAATTTGTTATGCCCAGCAAAAGCTTGTATCGCCACATTGGACTGACTTGCAATGCAACTATTGCCACTATTGGCAAATAAATAAACCAAACTAAACTGGATGCACCTAAATGTAGCAGAAAGTCCAACTTTTTTGTGGAATGCTCATACTTCATAGTGTTGCGCAATTCATAGAGGAACCACATCATAAAGGAAGTGCTGAAATGGAAGATATTTATATTTATTTATCATTTATATTTTAAAATGCAAAAAAAATTATTGGTTCATTGGAGACAAATTTCCACAAAATTTCCGAAATACAATTAGAATTTAAAAAGTAATTTTAAACCTAATCTGAACGTATGAAGTTCATTTTTGGGGCGCTGTAACCAATTTTAATATCGAAATCTTACAAAAATTTTATTCAAACGCTCTCCGGCTTACCTCCAATGAACCAATAGAAAGCCAATGACTAAATATTTTTATGATTCTTACCGCAGTATGAGAACAATCCAACCGGGCCATGTTTGATATTCATCAATGTCGGAAATAATATCCACTTCCGTCTGAAATCATTATTAAAATATATTTAATATATTATTAATAAAAAAAACAATATTCAAAAACTATAAACTAACCTTGTCCCATATATAAAGTAATACGTGAAATGCACAATATGGCACCCAAATGCTCATAAGAATAATCCAGCCAGATCGACTGATTTGTTGGCGGGTCACTGCCCAACCTTTGGCAAGTAAGAGTAATATTAGCATAAATGTCGTCTATGCGAAAATATATAAAATATTAGATAAAAAAATTATAATATAATGCTTAAACATACTCTACTAAAAATATCTAAAATATCTCCAGCTGCTTGCATATTCGGTTCACCGACACCATTTAGAGCGAAATTGGTCAGATGCGCTGTTATCATTGTTAAACTAACAAATTCGCTGAGTAAACTTAGTGTAAACAATTTTGTTACAGGGTGTTTTTGTAGACGTACTGCATAAATTTGGACTGGCAGTAGTATAACGTAAACAAGTAAAAATATTAAATACATTTCCAATAGATTCTGTTGGTCGTATGAAAATTGATAGGTTAACGGATGAGTGGCCGAATTATTTGGATGATTATTGACCACATGAATATCATATTCCAAGGTATGTGAAAAAATATCTGCCAAAGTTCTTGTTGATGTTATTTTCACTTTTGTTTTATTGCCAAACTTCATCGGATCGTATGCATGCCATTTGCAGGTTGTTCGATTGCGGAAACAAGCCACCATTGCAACATACCAAAATCTGCAAAATCAATAGATATATTAAATATAATTATTAATATATTTATCATATAAATAATAAGCATTATTTTATAGTACACTAATGGTTTTTTTATTATATATACATTATTATACAGAAGAGAATTTAATATAGGTTTAATATAGGTACTAATAAATCTAGTTAAGAACCTTCTGTGTATAATTATTAATTTATTTACTATAACCCTTATTTACTAAAACTATAACCCGCTTTTGTCCATTTTTTCTTTATGAGTATGTGATTAGTATTAAATTAGTATCGATACCTTAGTTACCTTAGTCAATAATGAAAGAAATCATTCGATTACTGCTAAGTATGCAGGTGTACCATATCCCCTTGAAACATTCACAAACCCTGTAAATTGATTTTACAGAATTTACAGATTTACACCGTTCCACCAACAGAAAAAAAAAATAATAAACCTTTATTGCATCGGTTGGAGCCTATCTTTGGATACGAAGCTAAGTTGATGATTAAAAAAGTTGAACAAATAAAGCTTTAGTCGGAATCGTATGTAAAGCGTTGATTTCATAAAAGCTGTAATTCTTTGGAACTTATCTAAGGGTTCAAGAATAATATTCTAGAAAAGATGGGCCATAACATTAGCTGAATAAAAGCTAATGTGAGAACTGAGATTAAACTAAATAATGCTTTAGTTGGAAGCGTAAAAAGCAGCAGCCCTTTTGACATTATTTAAGGCTTTACGATTATTATTTTAGAAAAGATAAATAAGCGGTAGTTCTTCTAATTTTATTTAAGGATTTCAGATTAATATTTTAGAAAAAACGGGCGATAACGCTTAGGAAGCCTTGCAGGCTACAACAACATAACACTAGAAAGCAGTACGTGGTAGAATTAACTTTATGTAACTGAATAAATCTAATAGCTAATGCAAAGACTGAGGTTCAACTAAATAATGCTGTAGTTGAATTCGTATGTGAGGCCTGTCATCATGAAAGCCTTATGACCTTATTTAAAGGTTTAAGATTAATATTTTAGAAAAATAGGATCACTTCACTAGGTAGAGCTGTATGGTAGAATCAAATTCAATATAGCCGTATAAATTTAATAAGGTTTGTCAAGATTGTATTCTATAGATTTCCTACAGCTTTATTCCAATCCAGTTTAGAATATAAGAAAAACCTCGAAATTCTATATATTCTATATAATTTGGTTCCAGAAGGGTGAATGACTGTAGTTTATATTTTTTAGTGAAAAGTAAAAGTTCAGTTTTGATTAGACCTTAGTTTACAAACTTTAACGATTCAAAGAGAATTTTCTGGACGTGTTTTAATATTTCTGCTAAGAAAACATAAACCAAACATTAACAAACTTCATTTTAAAAAATATAAAGAACATTAATTAATTTAATGATATTTAAAACATTTAATTTCTTAATAGAAAAAGGAGACATGGAAATATTTAAACTACAGACCCTTAAAGTCTTTTTACTTCTCGAACCGCATAAATATATGATGTGTTAACTTATAAAGTCTAATCAAACTCAAATTTTCGCCATATGTTGGGTAGAGATAAATCTATTAATAAATTAAAGTTAATAATTACCGTAATCACCGTAATCAGTAGTAAAACTAATAAATTTTACAATCTTAAACAATGATTTGGATTTTCGAGTTTCACACTTGTGGTTTGGTTATTGATTTAATTGATAAGGAAATTAAAAATAGCTCTAGACACTTTAGTAAAGAAACATTGGTCATCGGTAGAAATTTATTATGCAGATCATATATATCATATAAAAATACTCCGAAGGGGGTTTAGTAGAAGTGTTTATCATAGCAGAGATAAGAAAAAAGAAAAAGAAACAATTTTGTTTATAATACAAAATTGAAAGAATTTTTATAAATTTATAACCTAGAACTATCTCTACAGATAATTTTCCTTCTGTAAATTTCAGATCGTCAGAAATGTTTTTCAATACGTCAATACTGATGGGATAGTTAGTTGATTTATTATATAAATAGCACAAAAATATTTTAAAATATGTGATAAATTGTTTTACTAGAAATAAATAGATCAAAACGTGCCATAGCTTAGTGGAACCTTAACGAAAATAGAGATATATTTGTTAAATTAGTGAATATGAATCAGCTCAGCGTTGCCATTTGTCTATGAGTCTCTATCAATAACTACTATTACAAGATTAATAAATTTACTTTCTAAAATTTTGATAGTTTTATTGTCTTCAAAATAAATGTTTAACTATATAAGTTCCCATATCGGTGGGGGTTCCAAAAAGAAATGTAGTTAAATTATCAATCGGCAATAAATTTTGATATACCATAAAAGCATATTGTCTTGATTTTTTTATCTGTGACAATCGCAATGGAAGACTGTCATATACTTGAGTTTGCAAAATAAAAAATCAAACCTATAGCAAATAAATTGCTATAAAAGGAGTAGACAATTACTTTTAGAAGTAGTTCAAAAAATGAAGACTTTATTATACGGTGTCGGTGTTTTAACATTCCTGTTAGCAGCAGGATATGTATCTGCAGGAGAAAGGCCCATCTCGGACTGTGTAATTAAACTGTTATAAACAATTATAACAATTTATTTGATGTAAATTGTTTTTTTTGTATTTGATATATTTGAAAATATAGGGAGAACGTATTGAGAATGATGGATATCCAATGGAGGAGCATACAGTAACAACAGATGATTCATACATTTTGACAATGCATCGCATACCATACTCAAAGAAAACCGGCCCAACCGGTGACCGTCCAGTTGTATTCCTAATGCATGGCATGCTCAGTTCATCGTCTGATTGGGTTTTGATGGGTCCCGGTAAAGCACTTGCATATATACTTTCCGATGCTGGTTATGATGTATGGATGGGCAATGCACGTGGTAATACTTATTCAAAAAAACATAAGTATTGGCCAACATACTGGCAAATATTCTGGAATTTCAGTTGGCATGAAATTGGTATTTACGATGTGCCAAATATGATTGATTACATACTTAAATATACTAAAAAATCACAATTGCAATATGTTGGTCACTCTCAGGGTACTACTGTATACTTGGTTATGATGTCTGAAAGACCTGAATACAATAATAAGATTAAGTCAGCTCATTTATTGGGTCCAGCTGCTTATATGGGTAATATGAAGAGTCCATTAACAAGAGCTTTCGCACCAATATTGGGACAACCTAATGCAATGGTTGAACTTTGTGGTTCTATGGAATTCATGCCTAGTAATCAATTTAAACAAGATATGGGTATAGCGACTTGTCAAGCAACTTCACCATATGCAGAAATGTGTGCCAATGAAATCTTCTTAATTGGTGGTTATGATTCAGAACAATTGGATAGAGTAAGTACAATATCTAATACAATATTATTGATACTCTATAATTGTGTCTTTAATTAATTAAAATATAGGATTTACTTGAACATATCAAAGCCACTTCTCCCGCTGGTGCTTCTGTTAACCAAAACTTACATTTCTGTCAGGAACATAATTCAAAGAAATTCCGCAAATTCGATTATAGTGTTATACGTAATCCCTATGAATATGGTACTATGTATCCTCCAAATTATAAAATCAAAAACGCTTTGGCACCAGTGATGTTGTACTATGGCGCCAACGATTGGATGTGCGATCTTAAAGATGTGCTACAACTACGCGATGAATTACCCAATGTACATCTCGATTATTTGGTAGAATTTCCAAAATGGGCTCACTTGGACTTTATTTGGGGTACTGAAGCTAAGAAATATGTATACGATAAAGTCTTGGAAATGATGATTGATTATGAATAAATGAACAATAAATTGTTTATTGTGAAGTTTTAAAGCAAAACCAACATTTTTGACGTTTTTTTCGACCTGTATATAGACCATATAACAAATAAGAAATTTTGATTTTGATTTTTAGTTTAGCTGTACTTTTTATATTTCATTATTATTTTTTGACTAACAGTGTAATTGAAAAATTTCAAAAATTAGAGAGTTTCGGTTATTTGGATGACAGATATTTAAGATATAAAGAGTTCCACGACTGAAGATTTGTTCGGTAGAGTTTTTTTTGGACATCCAAAGCTTACTTCATAATGAGACTTCGAGAATCTTCCTTATAGTTACAATATAATTTTAAATATTTATTGACTTAGAGAATTTTATGGTATCGAGAATTTTATACCATAAATTTAATTAATTTCCCGTTTCCTAGTCCAAAAACCATTAACTTCAGTCCAATCGATCTTTGGCTTTGTTCCATTGAAGTGGCTAGGTTTCTCTGCTTTGATTTAGGATGACTTCAAATAAAATCGAACCTACCACTACCGCTTATTCTTACACGTAAACAATCCACTCCAACCCCCGAATTTCATACTACTATTAGCTATCCACACCCTAAACGTAGTACATGCATTTGCAATTTTTTTCATATTATTTGTTCGATGGATATCCGCGGTTCACCACACAACAACAAAGTATTCTTCTAAGCCTAAACTATTTACAGATCTATTTATTTTTTTAATATTATCTAATCTCTCTCTAGTCTCTTTCTATGACTTAAATATATTTATTATTATGTGGGAGTTGTTTTGAGCCAGTGCACTTAAGCACTAATACTCCTTTTTAACTCGAGGTATTTACAAAACCGATCTTTACACCTTGACTAGATTATTGTTTATCACTTTATCAGACTAAGCAATAACTAACCTCAGATCTGCATACCTCCCCGAGGTGACTGTAACCATTTTGAGATTTGATAACTAAGCGATTAAAATGTTCGTAAGATTATTTATACTGTAATTAAATTGAAATAAGATTCTAACTAAAAAGCTTAAAAGTCTTGGAACCTGATCTAGAAACGTAATACGTAGAAATTAAAGGTAATATTACTTAACGATTCATACAAGTGAGGATATATTAAATTGTGTTTTAGGTCAGTTATGACGGCAGTGACTATTTTACTTAATATAAATTATTGTATTTAAAAGAGAGGTTTCGAACATAGCAAACTACAACAACAAAATTTTTTTATTAGTTTGAGTAATATTACTATTAGGAATAAGAAGTACCTCTCTATATCTAAAGTATGTATTTAATTTGGTATGAGAAGTATTATAGTCTTTAATATTGAAACAGATTTAAGGAATATTCTAAGAGGAATTAATGATCAACTGAGAATAAGAAGTATCTCTTTATAAAGTATAGTTAGTTCAATGGCTTTACGACTTCCTCGTGTTAATTTTTGGAAGTGTGATTGCTTCTCAGTTATAATGAATGAAAACAAATACAGAGAAATATAATGTCTCGAAACAGTTGTCAATTATTAATTTGCTAATTTAAAACACGTTTTAATTTCAGTGGAAAAAACAAGACTGGTACACTTTTACTTTCAAAGACGGGCGAATAAAGCGAAGAGGCATAATGAGAAGACAATTCACGTTAATAACTTTGTTGAATTAACAGTTCGGCATGAATGGTAGGTAATACCGATTGCTGCGTAAACAATAAACAGAACCGTATGGTTTTGTATTGTTGGTATAAACACGCGTATGTTAACGTAATAACGTATGTTTATATATAAAAACAGATTTTGTTTTGAAGGTTTATTTAGAGCAGTCTGTTTAGGTGAATTTATTTTTCTTTTCTGTTTGCGAAGCGAAACAGATTGCATTTAAAAAATATTTAATAACAATTTCCGTGACGTAGAAAATAAAATTTCTACAATGGAATATAATAGCTTTTGTTAAAGGTTTCTTATCTAATATGCCAAATGGTATGTAAGTTACAAGTTTACCGTACTTATCACATTCCTTTATCTAAGGTGTTAGAATAATATTAGGGTAAATTTGATAAAATGACATGCACTTCTCTTCCAACACTTACCGTGGCTGTTGTACTTCACTGATAACATAAGTGAATTGATTTCCAGGCACAACGTTTCCAGGTGCATCTTCATCTACACACAATTCGCCCTGTGGACACGGCACACGTCGCAAAAAATCTCGTTTTGCGTGCGTATTGCAAGCAGAGTCATAAGCCAGTATTTGCACCCGTCTAAACATGTGCTGGCAAGCACTTTCACGATTGTAATAGGTGCGATTGCTGTAGAAATCCACAAAAGTTGCCTTGTCCAGTACAACCAGTGTTACTGGTGTTGCAAATGAATCCTTCGATGTTATGTTGCCATAGATATAGCCAAAAGATTCACGTTGCGAGTGTGCCTCCGCCTTTTGGAAGCCAAACTTGACAATGAACTTGAAGAATTCTTGTGTATTGAATACTCCTTGTACATGTGTGCCATCACTTACACACCATAGTTGTTGGAACGCCAATAGCCAGTAGAAGACCAGCAGCCATGACCATGACGGTTGTTGCATTGCGTTTTATTGCAATTTGCAAAAACAAATCGTTAGTGCACCAATGTGTATATTTTGTTAGTGTCTCCAGCAATTTGCTGCTGGCAGACAATTATTAATTGTGGCCAATATGTTTTTATATGTATATTTCCATATATTTTGCTTTGCAATAATTTATTAATATTTTTCACACAACGTAGTTATCATTTTTTTTAAGATCTCAATATATTTTCATTCACACAACCACACGCAATTGTAGCAAAATTGATAAAAACAACAAAACACAATTGACGCTGTCAATTCAATAATATTCACCACACACAATTTGTATTCTTAGACTTGCCAACTAACAGTTTTTTGTGGTGAGTTTTTGATTTTTGTGGCAAGTCTTTCATTTTTGCGTTACATTGTTAATACATTTATTAAGTTTTAAAATATAAAAAAAAACTAAGTAACTATTTAATAAATATTTTTATTTACATTATTAGATTGTGCAAGGATGAAAAAATGTACTCAATTATGTTTTATATTAATATATATTGTATATGTTATATTCTGTATCCACTCAGCTGTAACTACTTATGTTTATCGAGTATAATCAAGATATTATGTGTAAAAAGGTTCCTTAAAAGTTTTAAGAGAGCTTCTGCTTGTTGAGAAAAATTTTATTCAATAATATGTCTGTCCCACGAGCTTCTCGTAGTAAAACTCGAGTAAAACACAAGTACAAACTATGGGCGTAACACATAGCAAAAATACTAAAATTTATTATTTTTCACAAAGTAGCAGATTACGCTTTTTACTCAAATTTTAATGAAACAGCATTGTGTAAAATCTGGCGAGAATAGCTGTTTTTTGAAAAACAAAACAGTAGAAATAGAAAGAAAGCTTTATAACAAACATAAATATTTTTAAAAATTATTAAAAAATAATTTTAAGTTAAATTTAAATTTTATTTTAATAAAGCGGGTTAGAGTATTGTTGGTGATTAAATTTAATAAAAAAAATGTATTTTATATTATTATTACAGACAAATATTATTAACTCGAAGTATATTAATTACTTTATATTCTGGCTGTGTTGTATTATTTAGTTTACTTAACAAAACACTTATGTTTTTTGATCCATTTCTCTATTGATTTATTTATAACAATAATACAATTAAAATTTTAGATTTTTTTGCTTTCACCACTGCCGCGCAAATAAACAATTCGAACATTTAAATTCAAACTAAAACAGCTGATTTACACATCAACACAAATTTTACCTGAAATGAAATGTACGAGTAAAGTCTGTGTGTGTAGCATTTTAAAATTTCGACATAGATGTTATGCTCTCTCAGATGCTCTCTTTTACTCGAAAATTTGCTGGGGGAACGCAGTTGTATACACGGTTGCCACTTGAAAATTTTTTTCTGTACCAAAATTGATTTAAAAAGGTACCATTTCTGTAAAAAAAGGTCCAAAATTTTTCTATTGTCTTTTTATAAGAAAATACAATTTATATAAAATGTACAAAAAATATAAAACAATACAATATCCACAATAAAGTTGGGTCGTCGAAAATGTACCATTTTTTGAACATGAGTACCAGAGTACCAAACGGAAAAAAAAGTACCAATTTTGGTACTAAAGTACCATAAGTGGCAACCGTGGTTGTATATAAACATATTTACTCAAAGTTCTACGGGAAGCTTATGGAACAGACCTAATACATCGTTTAAAAATTTAAATGTGCAGTTGATATATTAAATCATTTATATATCTATATATATATTTTGTAAATCTATTACATATTAATAAAAACAAAGATTTTATTAAATACTTACTTACTCATTATTTTTGTTAACAGCTCAGCTGTTGTATGTTTCCATATCAAATATAAAACATAGGTAAAATAAATACTTCAAATTTTGATGATTTCTCTTGTGGAAAATTTATTTTTAAAAGTAACATTCGACATTTTTGGTCCAATTTCCATTGAATTATTTTTAAGTAAGTTAAAAAGCATGGAAGCTCTATATATGGTTAATCAAATTTACTTAGCAATTTCTAGTAAGTTAATTGGTTTTACGAAGGCGGAATAAACATACTAATAGTAAGTTACACTTAATACCTAAGTAAGCAGCGGAAACATGGTAATTTATATACTAAATATTTTTATTATAGAAATTATAGATATTATTGCAATAATACAGACAATAGCTTTGGAAGATTGCCGAATGAACGATTAAACGAAAGAGATGTGTTAGGACCTCTATGCAATCGATTAGGTATACTAAGTAATAATTTTTTTTAAATTTGGATTGTTAAAAATGGTAATGAAAAAAAATAAAAATATATATGATTTGCACTATGTCAACATCTGAAGTATTTTAAATAGAATTTATGACTCCTTTTTTTATTATGGGTAAAACATGGGGTTATCATGACAATTCATAATAAAAATAGCAGCTAAGGATTGGTATAAATTTGGTTGTTCGATCTCTAAAGTAAGGTCGTTCATTTCATTTCGTATCCAGAATTGAAATAAGAAGTTGTTAAGGTAATTTTTTTTCAGAATGCAAGGGAAATTTTGTTGGTTGATAAGGTTATGTTAGTTTAGAGTAGTAGCCTTGCGCACCAAAGCTCATTTAAGCATAAATAAAGGTCCGATCTGATACTACGGATGAGTTACAGTCCGTAAGTCAGACCTGAAGAGGCATCTTAAAAGTAGAAGACACTGCGTCCCTTTTAAGATTAATACTATTTTACTATAGATCCACAAAAATAAAATAATGTTGTGTTACTAAAATATAACTAAGAAAAATTTGATTACCACGGGTCGTATGAAGCCCGTGGGAAATGTTTCAGACAGCCCTGCTATAGATTATTACTATTCCAACTTCTTATATCAGATGCATGCAAAAAATCGTTACAAAGGAGTTAACTGATAAAATACGATTTCGGAAATCACAGAAGGCATCGTTATCAAACTTGACATTGATATTCGTATTATAAAAAGTTATAAGGATTTAAATGGTGATTTAAAGAAAATTGCGGTAATGATAAAATCCATCAATGAATAGGTGATCAACCTTAAAAATTATTATGTATGCCTGTTGGTTATTCTATAAATGGAGGTAAAAATTAGGACTTCAGGCGATACTTAAATGCACACGTTTTAAATGACGTTCAGCATATTTGGAAGTAATTTAAATTTTTGCGTTTTAAATTAAAAGTCTTTTTTACATCAACTTGAAGGGAATAATTTTGATATCACAATTGAAATGGCAGTATATTCAGAAGTGCTATTCACAAACGACGCTTCACCCCTTGATTATGGAAAGTCTCGTACTTGTCATTAATAAGTATTGTGCATAATCACTCACATTGATATGCGAAAGACGAAAAACGAAATATATTCAAGATTCACAATTCATATGTAAATTTATGTCTTCCTTTGTTAAAACATAAGTGAACGTTGAAAGTACTTCCATTCCAGAGATTTATGTTTTTATATTTTTTAAGAAATAAATATTTTTTACACTTATGCAATATTTTTAATTTTTTTTTTTCGTATTCCCATTGAATATTGCGAATCCCCTTTAATTCGCACTCACTTACACATGTGCAAACTGAAAGGAGTTTAAAAAGAAGCCCCCGAAGTGGAATTAAAAAATAAACCACAATCCCTTTGGGGGTTGATTAAAGAAGACGAACAAAACAATCCATACTCAAAGACAACATTAACATTTCTGTCCCGCCCGCCGACTGCCACCATTGGAGTATTGCATCAAAATTTGCGAAGATGGAGCAAAATATTGCCTCAAAGGTGAATTATTGGAAAAAAAAATTTATTCCTTTTTTTCAATTTTTGCAAAAATTGTCCTAACAATTGAAATTAATGCTAATGTTGGGATAACTTTTTATCATGTGTGAATAAAAATGTTGGGTTCTTTAATATTTCCTTTAAAATAGTTGAGAAAGGATTAAATTCAATAACATCAAAGCGCCACCAGGGATGCAAAGTTTTGGGGTAAAAGTTTTCAGTTCTAAGTTTTTTTTTTTTTTTTTTTTTGTAAATAGAGGCTGGATGTATTAAAATGGAGATTTGAATTGAAAAGGAGCGTTTATAATTTTACGGAATAATTTTATAAAAACGTAGTAAAAAAAGTTTCATTATCAAAAATACACTTTTGAAGTATAAAAAGTAATAATGGGGAATTTAAGAAGGGCGTTCATGATATGAATTGAAAAAATTTAGTTTATATTACTTATTAGCTACTTATTCTGCCCCGTCCTCATGTCTCAAAGGTAGAAACGTATTATCTATTTGGAATTGTTTTTTCAAAAGGAGACAGGGAAAATTATGGAATAAGTAGGAAATGGAATTTTTAATACGGAATTTATGAATGATCAAGTTAGTTAGCAAGAATAATAATGATGTGTATAATAAAGAGTGTTTATTAATAATATGTGCAGTAAAAAGAAATCCATTATTTTTGCATGAAATTGAACACTTACTTACCATACTTAGAATAATCCGATTTAGGTCAAATCTAGATAACTTGTTGTTATTATGAAGTTAATTTCATTATGCCTCTGTCATAAAAGTCCTCGACAAAAAATTAAGACAGTTGAATTTCACAAGTCTCTTGAAGAGAGGAGTAGATGACTCCTTGCTAATTCCACCAAACTCACAGCAAAACCTTCCTGGCCGTTGGCTTAGCCACAGTCACTTTTCTTCACCAGTCACCAAACTCTTCAATAGGAGAAATGGGTAGATTTTGTTGTGATTTAGAAACGATAAATTGACGGAAATTTGGACGATGAGGTTCTTTTGTTTTAACTCGCATTGCAGCTATAGATTGATCTTTTTTTTTGTCTCCAACCTTATTCAAATAGTTCCAAACAGTTGTTTATGCTCTATTTAACTCTTGAACAATTGAAACAGTACTTACGTGACGTACGGAGACATATATTCTTATTTATTTTTTTTTATATATTTTGTAAAATTTAATTGCGAATGGCGGTAGAATATGTCATCAGATCGTTTTGTAGGGCTAAGTATATACCTTTGTGTTATCTCCGGTGATTAGTCTTCAGCGTGTTGGGGTATTTGTCATTAGGCAATATAGTGAGTCGATAACCATGTAAATGGTTATGGAGCCATGACAGTGACAAGGCTCCATTTAGTAGATAACTGGTGGTTTTGACACTCAAAATATACAAATTCTACCTATTTGGTTTGGGACTAAGATTGCGCTGCCAAAGTATATAAGTCTACGACTTGCCTGGGCTGTTGCATAGAGCATGTTCTGATGTTTCTTTCCCCTGATGATAGAGTCAATAAGTATCACTATATTTTTCATGTGGTAGTTCAGTTATGGATAGTAACTTATGGTTATTTTAGTCAATTGTTAAAAAAAAAAGTTTAGTCGTGAAATCGCCCGACAGCCGGTACTGCGGCCAGAAGAGTCCTATTGTACTAGTTTCACTATTGATTACACAAAGCCCTTTAAAGGTTTGTGAATAAAGTCTAGAACTAAATCTAGATGACAGAAGTTCCAAATGAAATAAGTTTCTTTAGAGCGTTATTAAAGCTGGACAGTCACAAAGAATATGCATGATATTTTACTCTTCTTCGAGGCATAATATGCATTCCAAATTAGCAGATAATTGTGGTTTATGAAGCTGATATTTCAGTCCATAATGACTTGTCATGATCCATTAGTTACTATTTGTGATAATATTTAAAGTATAAATATCAAAGTGTGTTTCAATAACATTTACTATGTAGAAATTTAATTTTAAATAATACATAAAAACAATTAATTTCTACTAATATAGCAGCAAAGTAAGCTTTCTTATAAAAGACATTAAAATATATATGGAATAAAGTTTCCTGTCTCTTTGACATTTTATAGACTAATTTTCTTATTCCACCTCTGTGCCGAGATACCTAATATTACTTTTAAAATATGTTTGGTATTTGTACTGCTACAGAAACTTATAAGTTCTCCAACAACAATACGGCTTCATTAAGAATTAATTGAAAATCTTTTCAAAATTGTATTGTACTCCCACGTAGCCCAAAACTCCTTTTTTAACGTATATATCTTGACAAATTCTGCCAGCACCGAAAATGCCTTTCAAATTTGACCCACATATTTCATAGGCCCCATGCAAATAATCCGCTTACAAGTGTCCAAAAGTTTTATTGTTAAAAAGTGGGCATGACACAAAGGACCACAACTTACATACACATATACACACACATTCAGATAGAAAATACATATAAAAACATATTCAAGCCACAAATTTTTGCTTTGTTGTCTGTGTTGGTTTAAAACAATTAAAATGTGTCCTTTTCCTAAACTTACAACTTGACTTGGTTATCGCTGCAGGAATTTATGACACAACTAACTTTTAACTCAACCGTAAATTGTCTACTCCATTGCAAAGGTTAAAGTGTTGAAATTTTTACTCACAGTGTCAAAGTATTTAAGGGTCATATTCGCTTCCCTCCCGGAGCAAGCATAAAATCTAACTTTCAAAATTTCAGCTTTGATATTTTATGCCTCATATAAATTATGGTTACTGTAGATACTTCGGAAAAAAATAAAAATACTTTAAAGTCAAATTATGCCAAGAATGTGAAAGAACAGTATTTGTGGAATTTATGAAGTGTGAATACTTCAAGGAGCTCATAAAGGATTAATTTTAAAGCTCTTAGCGTAATGTTTAACAAAATATTTACACCTTAATACTTTGAGAAGATAATGAGCGAATATTTTGAAGGTGCGAAATTTAAGATATTCTTTTAATATTGCCTGTTATAATATTATTCATGTTAAGTTAATGTTTTGAGTCTATATTAATAATAACTAGTGTTATATTAATATTTTAAAACTGAGTTTGTTTAGGAAAACTAAATTTAAAAACCGCACTTAAAATACTAAAAAATAATTATTAAATAACAAAATATTTTTAAAACGTTAGTATTATCTAGTACATATGATAGGATATAAAAACTATAATCGAACATTTTGGAGCCATTGAATTATAAACTTGGCATATAATATATTGTGTAATAGATCCAACCAAGATGATCCGCTTATTTTCTCTAATATTTCCTTGATATGCGCTCTACACAATATATATTCTGTATACAAATAATTTAAAGTTTTTTATCTATTCCTCATCAAAAATTAATATAAAATTATATGTACCAAAAAATTTCTACAATGTCCAAAATTTTTGGATCATTTTTCTAAAGGACGCCAAACGCAGCGGACCTATATGACTTAAAACTGTTAAAGAACAAAAAAACTTAAATTTTGTTGCAAGGAGTTGTGCTCTATAGAAACAACTGACTGTTTTTTCAATAACAAGAGTTAATAATAATAAGAGTTATAAGAGTATTTAGTATAATGTAGTGAGTGTGTAATGTAATATAATAATATAAGAGTTGTACTTATTTTAGACTTCACAACAGCAGTTATTAATGCATCCTGAATAAATAGTATAGTTTTCTCAGTATATTATCTTATCCATAAGTTACTCTGTAGTGAATTTCTATCTAGGGGCCTGATGTGATGTCATAAGACCGCCATACTTCTTGACAATGTGCCTAATTGCGCATTCCTGATTTTCATGCATTTCTTGAGTCACAGTATTTATAATTTAAAAAAATATTTTTGTTTTTGATAAGTTGGATGATTCTTAACATCACAAGCCCTACCAAGTTTTCTGAATTTTTTAATAACATTTTGAAAAATAGATGTATTATGTTGACCGTTTGTTACACGTAATTCCTAGAACTTACATCCATTTGGCTAGAATTGATATAAAGTTCCATATAAATAAAGTTTCTGTATCAAAATTTCGTGGAACTTGTATTTACCGGTAGTTTAAAAGTATCACAAGCAACGGAAACCATCTTTTAAAACAGCAAAATAGAAAAATTTCAGCCATTGGACTGTAAAGATCAAAAGCTGCAACCTCATTCCAGTAATTAAGGGAAAGCGTAGACATTGGAATACACAAGACTTAGTACTTAGACAACAAATGTATCTAAGTTAAAAATGGAAATAGGTGAGGTGTAGGGAGGGAGGATACGCTTTTTAGTTAATGTGAGGTTCTATGTCAATATTTCGTGTAAAATGCATATTAAGTCTAGGCTTAATGCGCGAAGCGTACTCAGATTAGGTATAATGACCCTGTCAACTACTATAAACTTTAACGATTTTTATAAGCTATTGCTAAACCATATTGAACAACAATTTGTTGGAAATCTGAAAAAAAGTCCACTATATGCTTTAAAAGATACTATATTATACTTGTATATAGTGATATATAGAAGTAAACTGATTTCCAGTCGTTAGCTTAACATTAGAAAGATTTCGAGCTTAATTGAATATTGATTAAATTGACTTGATTGACGTATGATAGCTCAGTTAGATGAATTAGTTTCTAAAAATTTTAAATTAATATAGAATAGATATATATCGTTTGTTTGAATGATTAAATCAGTAAATTATATCTTCAAGTTTTTTTTAATGAAACCATTTTTAAATATTTTGACATCATACTTTATTATGTTTAATGAAATATGATAGTCCATATATTGTAATATATAAATAACAGTATTCAGTCAGGATTAAAATATATTTTGATAATAACATTTTTTTCTAAAATTAACAACAAATAAAATATTTTACATTTAAAATGATTTACTAATATCGAATTTAGTGTACATGATTATACTTATTTTATAATATTTGTATACATATACTTGCGTCTTCTAACCCATGTCGTAGTTGGGACTTAAGTTTATAACTAATCTGAATTCATCATCAGATTGGTCATTATTACTCAAATTATTTATAGCGATATCATCGAAGTCTATGCTATTATTACTTTGGTTCTCTGTAAACACAACGTTTTTACCCTTGTCTAATACACTTACTCCATATATATTTCTGCTCTCTTCATTAGTTTCATTATTGCCTGTGGATATCTTCCTGCGTTTGACTTGGATTTGATCATCTGAATCTGAATCTGACACATTGAATTCTTCAGTTTTGTCAGCAGAGTGTAAAGGTAAAGAATATTTTAGTGTTTTAGTTTTGTTATTAATTTCTAAAAGTATAGCCTCCAAATCATTAATTTCATTAGATAATCGTAAAATAGTGCATTCTTGTAAATCGTTTTCCTTGCGAAAATAAATCAAAACATCACTATCAGAATTTTGGGCAAACCATATAAAATCCCTATATTTCAATATGCGATAACAAATACGTAAATCTTCCATATTGTATTGTACTAAAGCCCATGGATTAGTAGTATTTAATACATCTGTATTTGCTGTTTTTTTAAAATAATGATGAAAGAACTTGGTCTCCCATAATTTAAGCTGTGCTTTGAGTGGTCCAGGATCGTTATGTTTATGTAGTAAAATTGCTGGTATTGTCTTTTTATCAACATTTACACTTATTCCCTCAAGCAGAATTTCTTCATTTGCATTGAAATTAATAGATTTATTATTATTGTATATGGGATCTATAAAATATTTCCTCATCGACAACATTTCTTCTAGATATTCAATATTTTCGTCATTTAAGATTGTGTCTTCTTTGGCAAAACTGGCGTCAGTTGTTGACAAATCATCGAAATAATCTAAAGCCAAATTCATATTAATTTTCGATTTTTTTTTAGGCCAATTTATTTTACTAGATGGCATTATTCTCTGTTCCACTATTAAATCATTTTTGTATTGTAACAAATAATATCTGCTTGGATATAGTTCTGGTGAATATTTTAGTTCTTCTCGAAGCATATCTGTATATGACTTTAATTCTTCTTCGATTTCATTTTTATCTTCTGCTACCAGTACCACAAGACCGCATTGTATTTGTCCTTTGCTTATATACTTCGCTTGACGGTGGATTATCTTGTTGTCGATGGGTGGGTTACAGAGTTCTGTTATATGTTTAATTTTATAGCGGTTTACGAACAAATCGTGGTTATTTGGTTCTGCTGCTTCTATTTGAAGTAAAAACCATTGATATCTTGGCAATGGCGCCTGTTTCTTAAAAATAAGATCTTGTACTTCCATTCTCAGAGAATGTATAGTTCTGTGGATATCAGTTTGAATCAGTATATAAAAATTTAAATAATAATAACTTACCTTGAGATTATCACAATTATATGTTAATTAGAATATTTCTAGAAAAGTTGCAAGCTGTTTAGATAACGATTGTTGGATTTATTTTTAAGTTGTCTATTCTTATAATAAATTTTCTGTTCAGATGGGTGTTGTCTTGAGATTAGCTATATGTTATGATGAATTGAGCGATGAAGAAGTGTGTAAGTGCGACATAAACACACAAACTAAATATATTCTATAAATTAATAAATCAATTTACAACATATATATAATAATGTAATATTGTGCTACCTTTGTTACTACCTTGTTACTACCAATTGGAGAGAGTTTAGAATATTAATATATATTGGCAAAAGTCAAAATTCTGCCCGCAGTTTTCACATTATGTTTTATTTTGTTTATTCTCTTTTCTACTTACTTTCGTTAAATTGGCAAACATTTTTTTCTAAAAATTCGCCGCGATTTTAATACAGTGGTGTCTTATGGGTAAATAGTAGAGCTTAAAATATTATTCCAGCTAATCGAGGGTTCGAACAATTTGATATTATGTTATATGGCAGCTATATTTAAATCTAAACCGATATTAATAAAATTTTATGCAATTTTGTTGTCAAAAATGCATTTCTGTTATGGGATATAGTAATACTTCATACATTGACAAATAAATGGACCTCCTTGAACTTATTTAGCGACATAGTATATTGAAAGCGATAAAAGTGCTTAGCTATCCGCTGAGCAATCTAAACTGGCTGACCTCATTAATTATTGGACATGGAAATTTTAAGTATTACCTCAAAAAGATAACTCTTGTTCAGAAAGACACTTCCAAACTATGTCTAGAAGAAAAGCGGTGGATGTATTGTGCCAATGTGCCAATATTAGCAAGCAGGTGGATGACTGTCTTGTGACACCATTGGGTTGGTGATGACTTGGCAGTCAACTTCAAGCTGAACCAGTTACTTGCAATAACAAGAGATGTAATTACGCGAACGGAAGCCTCTATAGCTTTAACTCAATAAAGACAATAACAAGAATCGAAGGACGAAAAATGACCTAAGTCGTTTCGTGACGTACTTCAGCTAATCCTTCACTTCAATGTGGTCACTTGTTGGACGGTGCGCTGTCCCAACGTCGCACAATATAATATGTATAAACTTTTACTAATTTAATAAGGCTTTCTCAGATCATAGTACAAAGTAAGATCATAGTAGTTTTTGACACAATTTAAATATGATAAATGTGGCAACTGCTGGGAAACCTTCAAGAAGTTTCATTACTTATATGGTCATATTTTCGCTAAGAGCTGATTTTAAAAATGTGCTCCAAATATTGCCAAAGAATAATTTTAAAGTAAAAAACTCAATGGCTTGGAAGTAGGCATTCTCATATATACGAGTAAAACTAATCTCACATGAATTTTATTTAAAAAAAAAACAGAATAAAATAAAATTTATTTAATCAATATTGATTGTTTATTTTCGAAAATTTATTAACTCCAGAGACTATTCAAAGCTTACCCCTGGTACTCATGGGTGTGGGTTGGTTGCCTTGCTAAAATATTTTGCTGACAATTTGTCGCCAAATAAAATGAAATAAAACCCCAAATATTTTTGGGTTTTTGTGTTATTGGCAATAATTTTATTGACGCCATTGTTACAATACATTAACAACACACGCACGGTCATCAGTTTTGTTTTGGGGAGAACAGCTCCTTATTGATTCCAATCATTTCATCCGATATACGAGTGCTCCATGAATATTTGTGTTTGCAGTTTCAACGAACCAAAACACTGGCGACATATCCGGCATATAAAACCAATTTTTCGAGTTGATTCAATTAATTCTTGTTTTGATTGCTGGCCAATATTTAAGAGCATTAAATTGATTTAATGTTGTTTTTATTTCATTTTTAACATTCAAAAAGTATGTGGTTTTAAACATAATAACATAAACATAAACATACATCTATCAAGTATGAATAATCCTAGAAGTGTGTGGAATATTTTCGTGAGACTGAAGATTTCAAAACTTTTAATTAAAAAACATTCGCTTGATTAAACGAGCCGTGAAATAATATATGATTTCCGTAAAGCTTAAAGCGCTACAGCCAAGAAAGAATCCAACTAAGCCACCAATGTAAACTGTAAGAGATATAAACAAATTAGTATTATATTTATATAATCTTAAAATATAGGTAAATAGTGTTAATAATTGTATATTATTTATACTAGTAATTAAAAACAATTAAAATTGTCTTATGTTGAGCCTTTTCCGAGCTAGTGCATCTGGGCACTTTTAGTCTATGATGGCTGGGGGGTTTCTGCAGAGTCCCACCTAGCTCACTGACTAATTTGAGTATTCCTCATAATCTTCGTGATTATTCAGTGATTGATCTAAGATCTGCGTACCGTTCCGTGCGGTTAGTAAACACTCTGAGATTAGATAGTGCTAAGTAGGGCAGCCTGTCGGTTTTCGCATATAGCTTCAGAGCTCTGTCGCTTATGTATTTTTTGACCGGATCTATTCTAAGTTCTCTTAGCATGTCATTCGTGCGAATGTACCATGACACTTTGAAGAGTCTTCAGAGAGCCTGTCTTTTAGCAACTTGTAGTTTTTAATTAAAATTGATAAACGGAGTAAAAACGGAATAAAAAAAAACAGAGGGCACCCCGTAATGACAACTAAAAGGTAATATCACAATGACGAAATAAATAAAAACTATATTATTTAAAGTAATATAAAACAAAAAAAACATACCTTAAGCCTTGAAAAAAATAAGTTCTTATATTAATAGCATTTAATTTTTAAACCGACATATAAAATCTATAAAGAAAATGGATCTATTGGTATTGTCTAGGTCTATTGCACTCATGCATTTATTTACTTTTGTATATATTACGAAATGTTTTTATATTATTTAAAGTAATATAAAACAAAAAAAACATACCTTAAGCCCTGCAAAAAAACAAGTACTTATATTAATAACTTTTAATTTTTAAACCGACACATAAAATTTATAAAGAAAGGGGATCTATTGGTATTGCCTAGGTCTTTGCATTCATATATTTATTTACTTTTGTGTATATTACGAAATGAAATCTTAACTTATGAATTAATTAATTAAAATAAATGCAATAAATTAATATAATATAAAACATTACTCACCTAGTACATCTGCAAATGAGAAGAGTACATCGCGGCGCAGCTGCATTTTAGGATAATCTATAATGCCCCATTGGAGGTTAGCGCCTAGAAACCAAACTCTAGATCGCTGCAATTATTAATAACAAATAAATATAAAATATACTGTTATGTATAATTAATTATTAAATATTAAATAAATAATTCAAACAAAAAGATTTTATTACTTATAATAATTAAATATATTGTATAGTAAATTTATAATTAATTAAAAAATATATTTAGAGAAATAATTTAAAAAATATATTATATAGAACAATTAAAATTCTGTTATAATTAATTCAAATATGTTTTGAGTCACTATTATCATATCTCGTTTTCCATTGGTAAATCTAGAGTAAATTTTTCACACGAGATTTACTTTTAGTATAGTTTTTATTGTCGTTTGTTTAACCTCAGGCAAAATGTATAACACTTGAGATTAGTTTATAACACTCTAGATATTTTGCCAGAAGAATAAAATTACTCTGAAATTAACAGCTGTTTTATGTTATTTCACAATTGAGATTGTTAATCTCTGATTATTGAGATTACCTTTAACATGTTCGATTGAGCCACAAAATTAAAGCAAAAAATGATAGATCGAGTGCAAATCTAGATAAGTCAATCGGAAACGATATAAGTAATACTAGGTGTATTGATAATTACCAGACTTCACAACAGGTGGCAACGTCAGAACAAAATCAATTATATATTGTATATTTGGCAAGTTTTAAACGACAGTTGTAAAAGTTTTGACTTTATCAGATGTTTGGTTAGCTTTTTGCCAATAATGAAATGTGCAGTATTTGATTGGTGATTTTTTATAAAATGAAAAAAATTAAAAATCGTTTAATAATAAAATTCTTCCATTTGAAGGGAATGAACAACGATGCAATCAAATTGGAAATGGATTTAGTTTATGGCAATCTTGCCCCATCTCTAACAACAATAAATTATTGGAAAACTGAATTTAAATGTGATCGTACGAGTGTTTTTGATAAAGAGCGTCAGGGTCGTCCAAAGAGATCACAACTGAAAAAAAAAATTTAAAAAATCTACGATATTGTGTTGGATGATCCAAAAATTAAATTGCATGAGTAAATCGAATACGTGTATCGAATATTTTATATGAATATTTGGGTATTGAAAAGCTTTCGGCAAGATGGGTGCAGCATTTGATCCCAAACGACAACGATTTCGTCATTTAAAACATTGTTTGTGTAAACAAAAATGTTTATACACAATCTAGCTGACTGTGAGTTTCGAGTAATGACAATTACTGAAACATAGACCCATTACTTCACAGCTGAGGGAAAACAATAAGCCTGAGATTGGGTAGAGCCCGGAGGTAGTGCTCCCAAACGACCACGAACTCAACAATCGGCTGGAAAAATTTTACCTTTCGTATGTTGGGACCTAAGTGGAATAATTTTCATAGACTATAATTTACATAGACTATATAGACTATCATATATTTCATAGACTATTTTTCATAGACTATTTTTCATAGACTATTTTATAGACTATTTTTCGATTACTAAAAACGAAAAACAATAACATCAGACTACGATTACATATTATTGGAGCGATTGAATGCGAAAATAAAGAAAAAACGACATTTTTCAAAGAAAAAAATTTTACTTTTGCAGGTTAACATACCCGCTCACACTCAATGAAAATCGTGTCAAAATTAAATGAATTACGGTACGAATTGCTTCCTCATCCACCATATTGTTCAGATTTGACTTCCAGTGTCTGTTACCTGTTTTCAAACTTATAAAGATGGTTCCAGGGAAAATGATTTGCACCAAATGATATAATGGAATGGGAAACAGAGGAATGTTTTGGAGGACTTGATAAATCACATTATTTAAAAGGTATCCAAATGTTGAAAGATCCTTGGATTCGAAGTAAGAAGCTAAAAGGGAAAGTGTGAAATATAATTTTACAAAAAAAAAATGCATTTTAATTACTTATTTATGGTATTTATGGTATTTTTAGTATTATGTTATTTATCAATCCACCTAGTTTATCAATCCACGCATTAAGATAAATAAACTTTTAATAAAAAAGGAGCATGTTTAATGTAGGTAATATAAATTTATTATAGTTTAAAAAAAGGGTTAATATTTAATAGTACTATTTTTTGTTTTTATAAGTAGTAATATAAAACCACGAAACGGTATCATCTGAAGCAAAAATAATATATTCTATATATATGTAGAATGTATTATTTTTGAGTGAAGAGAGATCATTTCACGCATATAATTAAAGCTTGTGTAAAGAAGGAATAACAAACATCTGCACTGGACTTTAAGCACGAAAGCTAAGTTAGTCCAAAAATAATAAATTCTATAAGATGTCGCAGTTCGCTCTTATACATTTCAGAGCTTTTGTTGAAGTATACAATCAATAGGTACACAACAACAATTTGTATTAGCCAGTGAACACAATCCACATCTTCCTGATATCATATAATTTGTTATTATGATTTTAACAGAAATCAATACAATTCTGTTAACACAAGTAAGATCAGAGCATGTATTTTGAATTAATGTTTATATGGCGGCTTTACTAGGCAATGCAAATTGTTGTCAATTTTTACTGCCTTCAGCAGATCACTTTATTGTAAAATTTATGAATGGAAGAAAATGTTTGCTTATTTATTTCAAGAAAACAAGTAATGTAAAAAAAAATTAAAGTAACATATGCACATATGCATATATTCTTTACATATTTACATATTTAAAATACATGCTCTGATCTTACTTGTGTTAACAGAATTGTATTGATTTCTGTTAAAATCATAATAACAAATTATATGATATCAGGAAGATGTGGATTGTGTTCACTGGCTAATACAAATTGTTGTTGTGTACCTATTGATTGTATACTTCAACAAAAGCTCTGAAATGTATAAGAGCGAACTGCGACATCTTATAGAATTTATTATTTTTGTCGGTACGGAGTAATTGCGCTAATGAGAGTTGATAATTATTGAATAATTAATTTAAAAGATTGACTCGTTATTTATAAAATAAAATAGTCATTGGGTGTTTAAATAATAATGGACTTAAAATAATATTTAAATGCTCTTAAAAATATGTACATTAAAGTCATTTAAGTATATTGTCTTCTAAGAATTTATTGAACTAATTAAAAAGAAAAAATTGTGGTGTTATATTTTTATTTAAATAAATATGTGAATATGTTAATAAAAATGAATAAAATTGTGTTAAAAATACGAATAAAGAAATTTTATTATTTTAATATTCAAATAGTAAATTAATACATAAATACACATTCTATGATTTGAATAAAAACGGTAATAACATAAAAAAAATGAATGAATGATGCTTTAATGACGTCAGATAAACGCAATTATAATGTCTTCTAGCAACAAAGAATATCAAAATAAATGCATTGTTTTTGTCTAATGTTGTCAATTTCAAGTACACAACATAGGCGTGTTGAAAATTTTGCCGTTAAAATGATAAAACGTGGTGAAAAAAGTAATAGAGGAATTGTGTGATTTAGTACCTTTGGTTTGAAAAAAAAAAGTAAGGTAAATCGTTGTTGCTGTGGTAAAAGCATTGAATTATTCTTACAACAACAACATTGTATACTAATAGAAATATTATTTTATACACAAAAAAAATAAACAAAATATATGTGAAATGGATGTGGTGTTTATAAATTTGTTAGTGTTTTGATGAAAGAATCAAATTGTGAATAAATTGAAAAATTATTTATTTGTTATTTCTTAAATTTTGTCCCTATTTTCTATATAGGCGACAGACTTATATATACAAATACAACAACAACAGTTATGCATTTTATACAACGTTTAATGAGGTGCTATTTGTCGGGCATTAATATAAACGCTAAGTCATTATTTATTTTTCAAACTTCTTTATATTGTTTATTAATTAAATTAAAATAAAAAAATTATTTCAATTTATAAATTTCTTTAAATAAATATATATGTTTGTGTAAATATGAAACAATACAAAACATTCTTTTATACCACATAACCATACATAATTCTTTTAAATGCTGTCCAAAAATATACTATATAATTTTTATATTCAAGATCTAGACTTGATGTTAGTCACAATAAAAAATAAAGGCTAAAATCGTCATTAATTATCTGTTTGACCAAAGTTCATAATCCATAATCTATGTTTTAATATCTTTTCCAAACATTATACGTAAATAAATCGTTTAAACTGATAAATTTCACTTCCTTAAGTTTATCCATGATACAGAAGTTGGCACTTGATTATCTTAATTAAGTTTATTTATGGCTTAAAAGTGCTGCGATCTCTCTTATAACATTTTCGATTGAGAGCTCTACATTTGCTTTATAGATCACTTTTTGTTTCAGTTTATCCATGATACAGAAGTTGGCACTCGATTATCTTAATCAATTTCATTTGTGGTTTAAAAGTACTGCGAGCTCTCTTATGACATTTTCAATTGAGAGATTTACATTTGTTCTATATATCACTTTTTGTTTCAGTTTATCCATGATACAGAAGTTGGCACTCGATTATCTTAATCAAGTTCATTTGAGGTTGAAAAGTGGTGCGATCTCTCTTATGACATTTTCGATTGAGAGATCTACATTTCCTCTATAGATCACTTTTTGTTTCAGTTTATCCATGATACAGAAGTTGGCACTCGATTATCTTAATCAAGTTTATTTATGGCTTAAAAGTGCTGCGAGCTCTCTTATGACATTTTCGATTGAGAGATCAACATTTGCTCTACAGATCTCTTTTTGTTTCAGTTTATCCATGATACAGAAAAAAATATTGATATTTGTAATATCACAACACAACTGGTCATCTATATAACTGACTTTGGTAACATTTTTATGTTTGAGTGCAAGTGTATATTACTTTCAAATTTTGTCAGCACAAATTTCTAATGTATAATTAAAAAGTAAGGTTATATGCAAAAATTTTGCTAAAAAAACAAGCCAATGTGGATGCAAAATTATGTGTAGAAATAAACACATATTTTTAAAGTCCACGATGATGCTAAATAACCAAAGATTTATTTTTAATTATTAAACACAAATATTGCAAACATCAAATTTATTGTAAGTATCAAATAAGACAGAACAATCTTTAAAGCCTGTTCACACTAGACACGCTTTGAACGCACGCTTTATGTGTTTTTTAGTGTTATATGTGACTTTAGGCATGTTTTTCTGGGATTTTTCATCTGTAATACTAGCTTTTAAAATGGTTCATAAGCGCTTGATTGCGATTTTAAGTAGATTAGTTCTTATGAGTATATTCAGTCTTATGCACAATATCTAGTGAATATATCAATATTATAGTAAATATTTAATAGAAACTATGTATATATTTATGTTAAATCTTTGGAAATAATTTTAAAAAACTTTTTTACTTACATACGACTGTACGAAAAAATTGGAATCATCGCAATTCGAAAGGCATCTACAATCGATTTTATATCTTTCCGATTTTAATGAAATTATATCACCTAGAAATTTATATATTCTATTCATTAGCCGATTTCTTGATTCCTTTGTATGATGTATATATTGTAAGAGTATTACTTATTTAACTTACTTTTAATGTCAGACAAGCACGCTATACCTTTCAGACCGCATACTGGCAATATTCGTCCGTTTCTTACTGAATTAAAAAAAAATTTTTTTGTAATTTAATATCTATAAAATGATAAAAACATGATGATTATGACGATATCTTCACTTCTTATAATTATTATAATTAATTTATATAGTGTCAATACAGTATTATAGATATGCTGATATATTATGATATGTTAAAACAATGTTTTATATGGATCAACTTTGAAATAAATAATTGAATATAATTAATTTTGTTTTGTGGAGAGGAGATTGACAAATACTTAACGTATAGTCATGTGTCGTTGCAGTAGTGAACAGTAATCGATTTGGAGAACTGAAAAGAATCATCTCGATAGTCGGACCTATTTTATATTAGAATTATCAAAATAAAATTTTTAGACACGGTCTCCAGAACTTTTTTTTATTTTTATTTCAACTTTCGAGCACATTTTCGACTATTTTTCTCATTTTTCTCAGTTTTCTGCTTGTGTCTATATTTTTCCAATGACGTTTTCGAGAGTGATGAGTCATATTTCTTCTTATGATGTTTTACTTCTTTTAATTTTTCGCATTTAAAGAAAGTCTGCTCAGCATCGTTCTTGTTGGTTCCGCAATATATAGAACTGGGTATTTTTGTTTATCTCACACTGTATAAATATTTATAGAAAGTATCTACAAACATATAGTCCCTCTATTACATGATTGTTTATTTTCCCAAAGCCACTTTCAATCTCTGATTTCTCAACTAAATGATATTATTACAAATGTTTTTAAAAAAATATATATTCTAATGCTGTTTAATCAAGAAACAAATTAAAGAAATCCAATAAAATTTTTTATATATATATTGTGTATTTAAACTTACACCGATTGCGGTAAAAATGTGGTACACAACCACAAACTTTCATTGAAAAAAACATTCGGCATTCAGCTAAACAGAGTCCAAAACTATAGATGGGGGCCGATAACATGTCTTCAGCTTCGTATTGATAACGACATTTACGTTGTTTTGTTGTAAATCTACATAATTATATGGATTATAGTTTCAATATTTCTAAGCTACTAAATGTTATCGATATATATCTTAATGAGACTTACGCACGAGCCTCTTCTGCAGTGTAAATTTCTAATGCTATTAACTCAACTGTGGTATAATCACTTTCTGGAAATGTGTAGCGTTGCTTAGATATATTTGGTATATCACCTGCCGAATGAAAGTAAACATCATATGCCGTTGAGAGGTTTATAATTTGTGCATAGATTTCGCCATCTAAAGGATGTACAGTAACGCGATCACCGTGGGCAAGTAAATTCCACATATTTTTTTTCCAATATCTGTTAAAAAGAAAAATCATGCAAAATGAATATATTTTACTGGGGCTGTGAATATATATTCCTGACGATTTGGGATATTCTTTAATCTTTGAATTAGTTTTCAAAGTAAATCCCTGGCTTATATAAGTCTCTGTACACGTCCATGATATACTTACATGTATACCATATATATATACATACCTATAGCATAAATAAGCTATTCAACTTACTCAAATGAATTGTAACGCGCTACTAGAGAATTAACTGAATGACATATACCAAACTCCGTTAATGTTTCGTAGATAAACATTTTAACTGCGGCGCCGCTACTCAATTCCGGTTCAAAACTCCATTTTAGTTCGTACAATAATTCCAAATATTTTTCACTAGCAATACCGAATGTCTTGTTTAATGGTAAAGTTTCAATATTATCATAAGAGAGACTTGCAAGTTTTTCAATAAAAATGCGGAAATCGTCCTTGTCCTCCTCGGTTTCAAAACTTTCAGGATGCAATCTAAGACAAAAATTTTGCATATCATAAGTACATAAAAATATTTTAGTTCAACAGTATGTATGTAAAGATGTACTTGTGAATAAGTGCAAGTTGAAGTTGAAAAAGAATTATTTAAAAATGTTTCTTAATAATATCTTATAACTAAAAATATAAATTTTAATTGTTTAATTAAATAAGCCGAATCACAAACAGTGTTGGTGCGTTTTTGACTTTCCGGGAATGCTCATTTTGATCAAACTTAATCACAAGACTTGAAGTAAAATATGTTTATATTAAAAATACCGAGAATAATTAGACTTACCATTTGGAACATTTACTTGTTATAAATCATTATTTGTTTATATTTATTTATTTGTGAGTTAACACTAAAACTACTAAGTCTTCGTCCTTTTGTTTATATATATATATATATTTTTAATATATATATTTTTTTAGTATAATTATTATAAAAAGATTACAAATTTAAACCTCAGTATATTAATAAGTAAGCCATGTTGGTACATTAGAATACATTGATGAATCGTCGTACTCGAGAAGTCTGAGTTTCCCGAGTATATCAAATTTCGTGCCCATGCCAAAAGTTTTATTTCTATTTTTTGTAACGATAATATTGATCATTTCCTGTTTACTTGCCTTTTTGGAAGTATAGTACATAAAACACCCTTCGGCGGAGAATTTGTTATCAGTCCACTATTATACTCACAACAAGGACTTGTTCAGCTAAAGGGCTTATATTAATTGGAATGGTGGCCTTGCATTCCAAAGCTCACTTAAGTACAAAAAATGACCCAACCTATCGATCTAAAATATTTGCTATGACCTTTATTTCGTGGATAACATCTCTGCAAAGTTGGTGAAAAGGGGGCTAAAAAGATATTAAATTTTCTTCTGATCAAACCTGGGTTCCGGCACATAAAATAAAATAAAGTTTGTATCTTCACTCACATATCTATTGGATATATCTATTGGATATGTATGTGTTTGAGTATTGGATTTAAATAATTTTTTTTTTTTGATTTGTTATTGGAAAATATCAGATGCTGTCTATTAATGCTAATAATTTATGCCATTTTCTAAAAGTTTCCTAAAAATTACTGATTGAATTCAATTTACAAACAGCTGCTTGATAGCACTTTGCTAATTGATCTTCCCAATTAGCACTTTGCTGGTAATTTTCTACTGCTTGAGATTGTGCTAATATACTATCCACAGAATTGCTATTTGCTCTTACTATGCTGATCCTGTTCCTGATCCTGATCCAGGTTCCTGTTAAGATCCTGTTATTAGTTATTAACACTAAAATAGATATATCTTCTTACATACATGGTTTTAGGGCATTAGTATGAATATGCAATATATATCTTGTATTATGATTGCTTTAATCGTACTATTGATTTGTTACTTCAGAATTGTAATAATTATATTCCAATATTTGTACTTACTCTATGTATTCTTCCACTTTAAGTTCATCGATACGCTTATGTGGACAAACTGTAAGTGATGGAAAACTGGTATTCCAAACCAATTTATTCCGATCCATTGATATGACCATTGGGGAGGTTTGAAAGCGCTCCCAAGTACGTTTGCTCAGTGACATGATACTGAATAGTGCAACACATATAAAGGCAAACCACAGCATCCTAAAATAAAATTAAAAATTACAAAAAAAAAATTTGAATAATTCGTATTAAAAAAAACTTTCATCGCGATAAAATGCTCCAAAAATATGTAATTTTTTGATATACGCTAATTTGCACATAAAAATTTATTGCTTGGAAATTTTTTCTTCCACATAATAATAAAAATATTAAGAGGATATGGAATGGAAAAAATAATAATCCAAGTTATATATTTTTTATGCACTTGTAAAAGAAAAAATTATAACAAGAGAAATAAAGAAGTCACTGAACAAAAAATGTGTGAATCCTTTACGAGTATTCCATTATTTTTATTTCAGTGTTACCAACACTCATAAATATGCACGAAAATATGAGCCAAAAGCTTAGCTTCGATATTCAAGGGAGAATGCGACAAAATACAACTTACAACATTTTTTAAGTAAATTTGTTCAAATTTAAAAATACTGTTACAAAAATATCTGCTAGTGATGTAGAATTTACAATTTGATATTTAAAATATTTCGATATCACTTCATTCATCTCATTTTCTTCGTCATCAATCTCGGCTATGCCACTATATGTGAAATCTCATCTGTTTTTTACTATAACTGCAATTTGTGATAAAATTAATTGTGATTTAATTTTCAGTTCCAAATAAGAAGCTTGAACCTCAAATGGTTCAGTGAAGATTTGTATCGTTCGGAGTTCTCAGTTAGAAATTCGATCCGCTGAACCCAAACATCCATTTGTTATCAACTTTATGGAAGTGGTTTAAATTATCATCATATTTGATCTGCAGTCTTTTATAGATGTTGCTACTGCTCAGTTGTGATTTCACGCATAGATTTCATTGCACTATAAAGGACGTATTGAGCTCGAATGTAGCACTTTTTTAAATAAATGCTTTTTTAAATTTTCTTTCAAGTTATTTGATTTTATTTACTTTAAGTTATAGGTAGTAGCTTACAAGTCTGGAACTTAATTCAAACTTTTTGTAGTCATATAGTCGGTTTGTTAGAATAACTTCATATATTCTGTCAAAGACTCAAGATTAGGTTAGTGGATCTGGGAATTTGTATCACATATAAACTATATAAACACAGATAGTTGGTTTTCACATCCTTTGAATATATGGTGTAAATATGTAAGCAAACATATTCAAACTACAGACATTATAAGAAGGCCTAAAATTATTGACAAAAACTGATAGGCTTGCCAATACTGCGTTATCGATTCTCAGAATGGTTACAGGCTCCTCGGGGAGGTATGCAGATCTGAGATTAATTCTTGCTTAGTCTGATGAAGTGATAAACAATAATCTAGTCGAGGCGTGAGAGGGGTTATCAAGAAATCTCGCAGTTAATAGAGAGTAAAAGTGCTCAAGAGCACTGACTCAACTAGCCTAAACATAATAATAAGAAGGCCTTTGTAATAATTACTCCTTTGTCCAAATTGTAAGTATTCGGTTCACATTCGATGTATTTAAAATGTACTAAAAGTTGAATATATACCACAAATTTTCAGACATAAATAAAATTTGTATATTTAAAAACTACGATATCCAAAAATGCATAGCGAATTTCCTCGACTGTGTGAGACAAGTAAATTTCCATTTTGACGCCACGATGCCTCATAAACCTTCTGAATGTGGAATCCCTAACTTTTCGTATCATTTCCGCATTTTTAAATTTTTTTCATACATTAACACTGTTTGTTTCGCAAAAAAAAAAATGTAAATATGAATTTCAACTGAAATCCATGAAGCCAAAACGATTTTTAAATAGATTTTTCGTACCAATTCCAGTATTCAATTGGTGTCGATGGTATGAAGATAAAATGCTCCAAACTTTATTCTCGTAAAGGAAAAGCCAAAAAATGAGTCCAAAAAGTTTTTATTCGTGAATGTAAAAAAAAATTTAGTAAAAATTTAAGAAGTTTTTTTAAAATTATATGTCTTGGATGCTTGGATATGTACTTGGATGTATATATGAAATTGCTTTAGTCGTAGACTCTATGAATTATCACATTTCGGACTATTCCGGTTTTAATTAAGTTGAACTACAAAAAACGATTTGTAAGTTATTATTTCTAATGGTTTGTTTTTAGCTGACAATACTTATATAAGTTATCTAGAGTATTCGTAGCATTTTTGATCAGTTTACTTTTATAATAGATTTATATAGAGGAAAAAAAGGATTGCTCAAAGTTATAAATTTAAAAATTATGTAAAGAAAATGAATTTTGTGTACAATAACTAGGATGACATATTAGTGGTATTGCATTTCGATTAAAAGGAATCGAAAAAAAAAGAAAAAAGGTTCTGTTTGCCGCTTCTATTTTCAAAAGTAGGACTATTGACTATTAATATCTACAATACTTTATGGTATCGAAAATTAGAGTTGGTTCCAAAAACTGTGTTAGTAATATAAATCTATATGTGAATATATTGATGTTTTCTTAAAAGGTGTAGACATTTGAATTAAAATAGAATACATAAAAATAAATAAAGTCTGATCTCTTCTTTTCAAACGGGTGATAAGTTTTTGGAAAAATATGTGACAAATACTTTTTGACAAACGGACACTATATTAACGGCTTACAAACTATTTACAGGAGCACTAATTTATCGTCACTTTTTAATTATTTGAAACGGATACTTATGAATAGTGATTCTCATGACTGATTTGTACATGTAGATGATCAATTTCAAGTCCCGGTTGATTTATTTACATATGTCATCGATTAACCTTTGAGGAAGTTTATATAAGAGTACATGTCTTTCACCATTTTTCAATTATTTCAGATTGATTTCAACAAATAGTGGTTCTTAAGGTTGATTTGTCTACATAGCTCATCCATGTCCAGTACTCCTCCAGAAAGTACCTCCAATATCTGTCGCTAGATAGTATGATGATCCCTTTTTTTGAATCCATTATGTGATTTTAATATTTTTTTTTTTTTGTGGTGAGGAGGTGAAATGGTGTGTTCGACTCCTTAACGTTAATATGTAGTATATGGACTAAAACACCCATTCTTCTGCGAGACTTAATTCCTCTTGGATCCGATTTCGGATTACTTCAAGTAGGGTACCTTTTAAGTTGGCATTTCAAGTCATGCTTTTGTGATTATCGATTTGTCCAGACCTCCACTTTTTCACCGCATTTTCTTGGTGTCTGCACAATTTATTACCTAGTTTCTGATAAGGCTAATTATCTATTATGTTATATTGTAATTAATAGAATATATTATAGTAGTGGTTTTCTTAGAAGTTTTGCATCTGGCACCATTTCATTGAAATCAAATTCTCTCCAGATAATATTCACATCTTTTGCAATTAAGAAGTCATTCAAGATGAATACTGACGGTCACAATTGCAGTTTTGATGTTTTTGAAGAAGCATGGCTCGCCAATATCGTCAAGACACAAACCGCATGTCATAGTAGTGTACGTGTTTTTTTTTTATATAGCAAAATATTGGATCTTAGTTTATACGAAATGCAAAATCTTCCAAAAAAGAGTTTGAAGAAATTGTATATCGCTGGAAGTTCTAACAGTGCGACGAAGATATTTATAAAATTAGGCAGATAAAGCTTGCCCATGAAAGATTTATTATTACCCAAGTTGCTGAGAAAATAGTAATGTTATGTAGTTTATGGGAATTGAGTTTTAAAAAATGTTGGATTGTATGACTAAATCTCAATGTCTTTTTTTTCTAAACTCAAACAAAAAAAAAAAGTAAATTCAAATAAACAGATGTTTTGCAACAATATAATATTATATTTCGCATAATGTCAAAGGAAAGTGCTTTGAAGGGTTTAGAATAAACATCGAATATAACATAAATTCATTACAGAAAATGTAAATCTTCTTGGAACTCTTTCATGATAACCTACTATTACTCATTTATATGTTTTAAAAGGACTAAGTATGACGTATTGTAATCTTTAGGCAGCCATGAGAATTCATATCATAAATGCGATGTACTGGTATATACCATATTTGCTGGTACTATACTACTAAACTTATACTGCTTACTATACTGATACTAAATACTGGTACCGAAAATTAAAGTTTTTCTTGCTTTCTTCTTTGCTGTGACTTCTCTCTTCAGGTTGACAAACTAATCTATAGGTCCGAGATTTTTTATAATCGGTGTAGAATTGCTCTTATTTGATGTATTCGTTTAAACAATATTTAATTACCTTTTCTATATGTGCTTCAATTATTTGGAGTTATGTTCACTCTACTCTCATGTAATGAAGAAGTAAGTCTAAATTGAATGTGTTGAATAAAGGTTTTATGCTCAGATTATTTTTACTAATTTTCTTAATTATGGAATTACCAAATAGTTTCAAAATGATTTATGTGTACATATAATAGTTAAATTCAAATTACATATAATCCCTGTTACAGATTAAGCCACATATAAAAAGTAACCCTTTAACCAATCACTTTATTCATGCACATTCGTATAATGAATTCTTCAGTGAAACTTAGTATCTCAGTCCCTTTTCATTTACATAAAATCAGTAAATCCAAAAGCTCCTTGTAATGTTAAGCCAAACAAATTCCACACTTGAATAAAGCAAGAGCATTTAATAAAAGTTTTGTACAACTTAAATTAGTAAACAAAATCTAAAACTAAACAACGACTTTCCTTTGAAGCATATGTGAAGGTATTATGGGGACTTGTGGAAGATGGCAGGGCAGAATATGCGGCTGAGCCAGTTGTTAAGGTTGGCAATGGTAACGTACGCATTTGGAGCACTCGTTTTTTTCCCGTATGTTTCATGCATAAAATTACACACGAAATATCTGAAAGCATTTTTATTTGTCGGTAATAAATCCTTAAAACTGACATGACATGACAAACAGGATTACATGCGCAAGGATTAAATGCCAACGCTTCGGTAGGAATACTCGGAAAAGTACGAGTTCAGTAAATAAAAATGGACCAGCATGAAATTGTTTAGCGTACGGGATAATTAGTGGATAACATTTCAGTACAAAGTGCTGAAAGT